CTCAAAATCTCACGATACATGGCCCCATTCATTCTGTCCTGTACATGGATCAGTCGTCCTGGTCCCTTTGCGGAGAAACAGCCCCAAGCATGATGTTGCCAACCCCATGCTTCACAGTAGGTATGGTGTTCTTTGGATGCAACTCAGCATTCTCTCTCCTCCAAACACGACTAGTTGTGTTTCTACAAAACAGTTCTATTTTGGTTTCATCTGACCATATGACATTCTCACAATCCTCTTCCGGATCATCCAAATGCTCTCTAGCAAACTTCAGATGGGCCAGGACATGCACTGGCTTAAGCAGGGGGACACATCTGGCACTGCAGGATCTGAGTCCCTGGCGGCATAGTGTGTTACTGATGGTAGCCTTTGTTACATTGGTCCCAGCTCTCTGCAGGTCATTCACTAGGTCCCCCCGTGTAGTCCTGGGATTTTTGCTCACCGTTCTTGTGATCATTTTGACCCCACGGGGTGAGATCTTGCGTGGAGCCCCAGATCAAGGGAGATTATCAGTGGTCTTGTATGTCTTCCATTTTCTAATTATTGCTCCCACAGTTGATTTGTTCACACCAAGCTGCTTGCCTATTGCAGATTCAGTCTTCCCAGCCTGGTGCAGGTCTTCAATTTTGTTTCTGGTGTCGTTCGACAGCGCTTTGGTCTTCACCATAGTGGAGTTTGGAGTGTGACTGAGGTTGTGGACAGGTGTCTTTTATACTGATAAGTTCAAACAGGTGCCATTGATACAGGTAATGAGTGCAGGACAGAGGAGCCTCTTAAAGAAGAAGGTACAGGTCTGTGGGAGCCAGAAATCTTGCTTGTTTGTAGGTGACCAAATACTTATTTTCCACCATAATTTGCAAATAAATTCTTTCCAAATCAGCCAATGTGATTGTCTGGATTTGTTTTCTCATTTTGTCTCTCCTAGTTGAGGTCTACCTATGATGCCAATTACAGGCCTCTCTCATCTTTTTAAGTGGGAGAACTTGCACAATTGGTGGCTGACTAAATACTTTTTTGCCCCACTGTAGGTGAGTGCTGTCAATGAACAAATGAATAAATATAGAGCTGCTAGCACACAAGGTATAGGTAATAGTCCCCACAAATATAAAGCTACAAAAGTGCAGTGCTAAAAAGACTACAAAAATATATTAAGTCAAGTGAACTGAAAGTGCAGGTAAAATGAAAGATAAAAAGGTCTGCAGAATAAATTGTGATAATAATGTCCGTGACCACAAGTGATAATCATCAAATAAGTGAGGCATATAAATGAAATGCAATAATAATGATAATGATTAGGTCTGTAAAATACATATATTAATGTCCGTAGGACCACAAGGTGCAGTAATCAAAGGTGCAAGATAACTGTGGTAGTAATCAAGTGAAGGAATCCACCACCTCTGTCATATGTAAACTCACCAGAAAGCTACTGGTAAATAGCATGTAGGTATATCACATCTGAAGACCAGGAGACAGCCAGGGGATCTAACACAAACTGCTCCAACGTAGGCGAAGATGGACTAGGGAAGATAGCTCACCACAGGAACACAGAAATCGTATATAGTGTAGTAATTTTATTGAAATACAAGGTAAAATATCCAATTTATAAAATCAGGTAAAAAGGAGTACCAAGATGGCCGCCACTCCATCCTTTCAGTGCACTTATATGGTACACTTGACTGTTCCACTTGATTTAATATATTTTTTGTACTCTTTTTAGTGCTGTCCTGAAAGAAAGTGAGGGAAAGTATTCCCAGTACACAGACGACAATAAAAACCTAACAGAAGCTCTTAGTCTATTCAGAACAAAATAAGTTTTGTCTGGACTTGCAGAGCACAGGAGAGTTCTCTCTGTGCATTTTTCCCTCCATAAGAGCCTGGGTGGTCAGGTAGTGATGGAGAAATTTCGTTAAGGTGAGCAGACCTTGGCAAAATCTTGTTTTGTGGAAAAAGCATTCATTTTGCTGATTTAAAACGCATGCTAGGCACAATACGAGTTTAATTTTTAAAACACAAATGCCATTGTCATTTAAAGCAGCTTATACTACAATATCGCTGCAAGAGGCAAACACACATATGCAAACTGTAGAGCCCAATGTGGCTTCAAACCAGTGAACCTGCTGCTACTGTGGATCCCATAATCTTAATTGTATGATTTAAACCGATACGATCCTTTGGTCAGTGACAGCTGTTACTGGTAAATGGATTTACGATGACAGAACATATGTACTAATGGCTTCCGGGCGGTAGAGGGCAAATATCCATGTATCCTGGCACATAGGTGTGTGCAGCCTGTTGCATTAAGGTATGCACCCTAAACCTGTACAAATCAATGTATACAAACATGAACAGTGTCAGTAGGACAGTGGATGGTGTCAATTTGTTTATTTTTTAATTACTTTTTACAGTTTTATTATTTATTTTTTTTAAATATTATTTTTTTAACTTTTAGGAGCCCAGTTGGGGGGCTTTGGTGAGATATCAGGCCCCTAATGTCTCACTTTTGTGACAGACAGGGACTGAGGACAGAGATTACTCAATCCCTTTTTTTTTCCTGTAGCCTCAGCTGCACTAGACTGTGAATGTATGGGGAGTGTTCTGTGCTGAGTGGCTTCCTGTTCATTCACAAACTAAAGCATAGTAAACTGTGTTTAGTATGCTTCGGTTATGAATAGACACAATGAGTAATCATTACTGATCACTGATTGTTTTCATTCGGAAAAGGTTCAGGATAGAGAGCAGGGAATATATAATTTATCGGCCCCTTCCCTGCTCTCCATCCTGAAACATTCCTCGTAGCAGCTGGCAAGAGAAGAGAGAAGAAAAGCCAGTGGCACTGTGGGGGAGGGCAGCAGGGGGAATTGGCGCTGCAGGGGGTGATTAGGGTGTTCCTCGGCATATCTCATGGGCATGCCTATACCTGCACATTAGAGGTGCCTGCATTGGTTGACTCTGCCATTAGTGCAAACTGGATACAGATTTTTGGGCAATTGCAGTGGCAACTGTCTGACATTTCATAAGTGGATAAGCATGCCAAGACCAATATGTAAAAGAGATGACCAACCTGAACCTCCCAGGTGCTGCAAGTATCTGTGAAGGCTTGCTCACAGGTGTGGCTATACTGCTGCCCCTCTGAAAAGTGATCCATGGTGAACCTTTTTTTTTTTTTTTTTTAGGCTGTTTCACAAGTAGTGAGGAGTCAATATGTTGTCTCCTCACTACCTGTTTTACCCCCATTTTAGCAGGCGGAACTGTCTGACAAATGTGAAGGGGGGATAATAAATAAATATTTTGTGTGTGTATGTATATACTATAATATATAATATACATTGCTTCTTAGCATAAATGAATACACCCCCACAAATTTGTCAGAAAACCTTTTACTTTCAGAATCAACATTTTATATGGGTCACTATACTTCAAAATACTCCCACAAATGTGGGCCATTGCAAACAAGATTTGTTAATTTGCACACGCAAAAAAGTATTTTTCCTAACAAATTGATGCAAGACTAAGTTGAAAAAATGAATACATCCCAATGAAAGTCTTAGGAGCAAAGCTAAATTTTAGACAAAATCATAATTAACAAGAATTCAACTATTGGTTAAACAGGTCTACAGCAGACAGTTAGATTATAAAAGGGCGTTACTTAACAAAGAAAACCCCTTTTTATTTCATGCTGTCAGCAATGGCACCACATGGAAGAGAAATGTCACAAGGCCTGAAAAAGAAAATAATCTATTTACACAAGAAAGGTGAAGACTACAAGAAGATCAGCAATGCTTTACTTATCAGAATACTGTAACAGAAGTGATACAAAAATTTGACAAGGATGTAACTGCAACCATCTCACAGAGATGTCCAAGCTGTCCACAGATGTTAATCGCAATGCAAGTTCACTGCAGTTAGCTAAAGTAGTAGAAAGCCAAACTGGGGTGACTGACACAATACGGCATACACTGCAGAGGAATGGCATGCATGGGTGGCGTCCACGAAGGAAGCCTCTCCTAAAGCTCATGCACAAAAAAGCCCATCTAGAATTTGCCAGGGCCCATGCTGAAAAAGAAGACTGCTGGGACTCTGTACTCTGGAGTGATGAGACCAAGATAAATGTTTATGGAACTAATGGCTTCAAAACTGTAAGGTGTCGCAAAGGTGAGGAGTACAAAGAAAAATGCATGGTGGCTGCAGTGAAACATGGTGGTGGCAATGTCCTTCAGTGGGGCTGAATGAGTGCTGCTGGTAGGTGGAAAGTCCCAGGTGAATTGAAGCACGGGGCAATACCTGTTGCTACAAGACTACCTGGAGAAATGCTGGATCAACAGGCTGTAACACGCGTTTATAGACCTTCAGAAATATAGATCTGATGTTTCTAGTGTGTGCGGAGTCTGATGGGTATTTGTATGTAATTGAAAGTGCATTGGTGATCCAAATTTAAAGAATGCTCCTTGCCTTCCTTTCATGTTGATCCTCTGGCTTTAATACCTTGTAAATCTGACCGGGAACAGGTATGCCTAAGAGTGAAGTTGGAACTCCTGATCTGCATATGTGTTCCCGGTCACTGAAAGTATTGATGTTAGGGAATCCACATAAAGCCCAGAAAATTTTTCCTTTAGAATGAAGTCGATATTAGTAGCTTTAAGGTGGCCATATGTATGTGGCTTTCATTCAGTAAAGTCCATTTATTCCAAAATCAAATGTTATAAGCAAATTAAATCTTTTGAATGACCTTCAAATGTTTTTAGAATTTCTGTTTGAATTTCTATCCATCTATGGCTAGCCTTAGTCTCCCATGTGAAATTTCTTTTCTTTTGAAAAGTAAACGTCCAAGCAGTTATTGAAAGTAACACTGTACCCGATAGCCACAGTGTTTTGTACTGCTAGAAATGGAATCAACTGCAATCATCCGGGCCCACTATATGATGGCAAACACAACTACAATTGCATGCACCTTTTTTTTGTCCTTCCTCCACTTCCTTTGTTGCTCATTTCTTTTTTAATTCTTACAGAATGTTATCAACACTTTTACACAGACAGCCCATTTGGAGCGCTGTAGTTTCCTTGGCAATGTGACTGTTGGGAGAGATGTAACTATAGAGGAACTACAGGAGGCATATCATGCTGTAGTCCTGGTGAGTGCTGAGAGACATTGGATAGCTGGATGTTTGGCTCTGTCTATCCATTGAGCCGTCTTTATCTTCGACAGAGCTATGGGGCAGAAGACAAGCGGCAGCTGGGGATTCCTGGAGAAGACCTTCCAGGAGTGTACTCTGCCAGGGACTTTGTGGGTTGGTACAACGGCCTTCCAGATAATAGACACGTGAGTGACCATTTTATATATAGATTTCTCTACCATTGTTGTCAAATGTAAATTTTTCACCAATGTGTGTCTTTAATAAACATCCTTATTGCTGTAGTTTGAAAGCATGTTCTGTCGTGATACCAAATGTAAAACATGCTATGTGATAAATTTAAGAGGAGGGCAATGCCATAATGTACTAGTATGCATCGCTTGCTAGCACAATATGAAAAACTTACCTTAAAACCAAGCCCTCAAGCTGGACACTGTCACCGCTGCAGAGGCTTACATCTTCACCCAGTCTTGCTTCCTGGTTTGCGGGCTTCAGGTCTTTGAATGGGGATGATGATGATGTCACTCCCCGCGCATGCGCCCAGATGTCAGACATGGCACAGAGCCGTTTCTTCAGAGCACATGCGCCAGTGATGTCACCGGCTGCTTCAACAGTGAATATCTTCTAAGTGGTGGATGTTTAGGAGATATTTACTGTACCTACAGGTAAGCCTTACTATAGGCTTTCCTGCAGGCACAACTGAATAAAATGCATTTACTACCACTTTAAAGGCAGTGGGACCCATTGGACACCCAGTAAGAGCACAGTGGCAGCTGAAGACTGAAGAATAGAATTAGGACCGCAGTAAACAGCGGAGCGTTGACGTGGGCACTGTGGCTTCCACATATATTTGCAAATGTGTGCAACTAAACCCTCTGTTACATGGGATCAGTCTCTTAGATTGTAAGCTGTAACGAGTGGGGCCCTCTTATATCTCCTGTATTAAATTGTATTGTAATCGTACTGTCCGCCCTCATGTTGAAAAAGTGCTACATAAATTGTTAGCCGCTATATAAATCATGTATAATAATAACTAGTTTTTTGGCAGGCTAGCAGGTAAGTGTGCTAGGAAATTCTTGTTTGTTTAATGTGCATTATCCTTGCTGCAAAGGCTAGTTATAAATTGGGGTGGAGTGGCCATCTTTTTGTTTAACAATTTCGCTGATTTGGTGTGAGGACACATTGGATGCCTTTAGGTGCCTTGCTGGGCATCCAATGTGTTCCTGTGTCTTTTGAGGAGTGTGCTCCCTCCAGGCAAACCTGCCCTTAATTTATCCACTGCTATACAGTGCATCCAGAAAGTATTCACAGTGCTTAACTTTTGCCACATTTTGTTATGTTACAGCCTTATTCCAAAATGGATTAAATAAAATTTTTTCCTCAACATTCTACAAACAATACCCCATACTGACAATGTGAAAGAAGTTTGTTTTGAAATCTTTGCAATGTATTAACAGTAAAAAACACATGTACATAAGTATTCACAGCCTTTGCTCAATACTTTATTGAAGCACCTTTAACACCAATTACAGCCTCAGGTCGTTTTGAGTATGATGCTACAAGCTTTGCACACCTATTTTTGGGCAATTTCTCCCATTCTTCTTTGCAGTACCTCTCAAGCTCCCTCAGGTTGAATGGGGAGCGTCGGTGCACAGCCATTTTCAGACCTCTCCAGAGATGTTCAATCGGGTTCAAGTCTGGGCTCTGACTGGGCCACTCCAGGACATTCAGAGTTGGCCCGTAGCCAATCCTATGTTATGTGGGCTGTGTGCTTAGGGTCGTTGTCCTGTTGAAAGATGAACTGTTGGCCCAGTCTAAGGTCCAGAGCGCTCTAGAACAGGTTTTCATCAAGGATGTCTCTGTACGTTGCTGCATTCATCTTTCCTTCGATCCTGACTAGTCTCCCAGTTCCTGCCGCTGAAAAACATCCCCACACCATGATGCTGCCACCACCATGCTTCAATGTAGGGATGGTATTGGCCAGGTGGTGAGCTGTGCTTGGTTTCCTCCAGACATGATGCTTGGCATTCAGGCCAAAGAGTTCAATCTTTGTTTCCTCAGACCAGAGAGTTTTGTTTCTCATGGTCTGAGAGTCCCTCAGGTGCCTTTTGGCAAACTCCAGGTGGGCTGCCATTTGTCTTTTTACTGAGGAGTGGCTTCCGTGTGGCCACTCTACCATACAGGCCTGATTGGTGGAGTGCTACAGAGATGGTTGTTCTTCTGGAAGGTTCTCCTCTCCACAGAGAAATGCTGGAGCTCTTTCAGAGTGACCATCAGGTGCTTGGTTACCTCCCTGGCTAAGGCCCTTCTCCCTCAATCGCTCTTTTTGGCCAGGCAACCCGCTCTAGGAAGATTCCTGGTGCTTCCAAACTTCTTCCATTTACAGATGATGGAGGCCACTGTGCTCATTGGGACCTTCAATGCTGCAGAAATTTTCTGTACCTTTCCCCAGATCTGTGCCTTGATACAATCCTGTCTTGGAGGTTTTACAGACAATTCCTTGGGCTTCGTGGCTTGCTTTGTGCTCTGACATGCACTGTTAACTGTGGAACCTTATATAGACAGGTTTATGCCTTTCCTAATCATGTCCAATCAACTGAATTTCTCACAGGTGGACTCTAATCAAGTTGTGGAAACACTTCCAGGATGATGAGTGGGAACAGAATGCACCAGAGCTCAATTTTGAGTGTCATGGCGTAGGCTATGAATACCTACAGTGAAGGAAATAAGTATTTGATCCCCTGCTGATTTTGAATGTTTGCCCACTCACAAAGAAATGATCGGTCTAAAAATCGAATGGTAGGTGTATTGTAACACTGAGAGACAGAACAGCAACAAAAAATTCAAAAGAAATACATGTGTAACAAATGATGCACTGATTTGCATGTTCATGAGGGAAATAAGTATTTGATCCCCTTCACAAAACATGACTTTTTGGCCCACTCCTCTTGGCAGATCCTCTCCAAGTCATTAAGGTTTGGTGGCTGACGTTTGGCAACTTGAACTTTCAGCTCCTCCACAGATTTTGCAATCGGATTAAGGTCTGGAGACTGGCTAGGCCACTCCAGGACCTTAATGTGCTTCTTCTTGAGCCACTCCTTTGTTGCCTTGACCGTGTGTTTTGGGTCATTGTCATGCTGGAACACCCATCCACAACCCATTTTCAATGCCCTGGCTGAGGGAAGAAGGTTCTCACCCAAGATTTGACGGTACATTGCCCCGTCCATCGTCCCTTTTGAGGCGGTGCAGTTTTCCTGTCCCCTTAGCAGAAAACACCCCCAAAGTAGAATGTTTCCACCACCATGTTTGACAGTTGGGATGGTGTTCTTGGGGTCATCATAGGCAGCATTCCTCCTCCTCCAAACGTGGAGAGTTGAGTTGATGCCAAAGAGCTCAATTGTGGTCTCATCTGACCACAACACCTTTAACCAGTCGTCCTCTGCATCATTCAGATGTTCAGTGGCAAACTTCAGATGGGCCTGGACATGTGCTTTCTTGAGCAGAGGGACCTTGCGGGCACTGCAGGATTTCAATCTGTGTCTGCGTAGTGTGTTACCAATTGTTTTCTTGGTGACTGTGGTTCCAGCTGCCTGAAGATCATTGACAAGATCCTCACTTGTAGTCCTCACTGTTCTCATGATCATTGACACTCCACGAGGTGAGATCTTGCATGGTGCACCAGATCTAGGGAGACTGACAGTTGTTTTGTGTTTCTTCCATTTGTAAATGATTGCACCAACTGTTGTCACCTTCTTACCAAGCTACTTGGCGATAGTTTTGTAGCCCAGTCCAGCCTTGTGTAGGTCTACAATCTTGTCCCTGACATCCTTGGACAGCTCTTTGGTCTTTGCCATGGTGGAGAGTTTGGAATCTGGTTGTTGTTTGATTGCTCCTGTGGACAGGTGTCTTTTTATACAGGTAACAAAATTAGATTAGCAGCACTCCCTTTAATAGACTGCTTCTAATCTCAGCTTGTTACCTGTATGAAAAAGACACCTGGTAGCCAGAAATCCTGCTGAATAATAGGGGATCAAATACTTATTTCCCTCATGAACATGCAAATCTGTGCATAATTTGTTAGACCTACATTTCTTTTGAAATTTATGTTGCTGTTCTGTCTCTGTGTAACAATACGCCTACCATTCGATTTTTAGACTGATCATTTCTTTGTGAGTGGGCAAACATTCAAAGTCAGAGGGGTTCAAATACTTATTTCCTTCACTGTATGTACATGTTTGTTTTTTTTTTTTTTTTTTTTTTTAATAACTTCCAAAGATTTCAAAACAAACTTCTTTCATGTTGTCATTATGGAGTATTGTTTGTAGAATGTAGAATGTTGAGGAAAAAAATGAATTTAATCCATTTTGGAATAACGCTGTAACATAACAAAATGTGGCAAAAGTTAAGCGCTGTGAATACTTTCTGGATGCACTGTATGTGCTCTATCTTGGAGACTCTCAAAAATATAGCGTTAGGATCGCAGTAAACAGAGGAACCTTTAGGTAGGCAACACAGTGCTTTCCCAATTCCTCCATTCTTAAAACTGTTTGTATACACAGAATACATAGTATTCTGTGAAAATAATGCAAAGTATTCTGTGATTAGGCAAGAGGGGTGGATGAATGCCAAGGCCTACCTTTTGTCCAATACAATTTTTACTTAAAGATGAATTGGAAAATTTTTACATAGTTACAATGGTCCAGCTTGGAATAGTGTAACTTTGTAGATCCCGTATCTTTCTGATGCCCCTTGAAGTTGGAAATCACAGTAGTAGACATTGCTACTTCACTGATCTCCATTTGCTTCTGGGTTCCGTGCTGAGAAGCTGGCCTGATGCATTGTGAATACAGGAGGTTGGCTGCTCAGAATGCTTTGCATTTTCTGAATAAAAGCAATGTGTTTTCTGACTGGACCCGGAAGCAATTGGAGATCACTGAAGTGGCGGTATTTACTAGTTATTTCCAGCTTCCAGGGGGATTGTCCTTGTATGGTATATGCATGATTACATTGGTCAAATCTGAACTAATGCAACTATGTATAACATGCCGATGCCTGGAACTCTTCTTAAAAGTCCTAGCTCATTTGATGAAAGATCATTTGAAATTCTACATTGCATTTACCATTGAAGGTACCAGAATTTCCATTTGTAAGTGCCCTTTTTGTGTCATAGTTATCACCAGATTTTAGCACGGAAACAGCAGTCATCCTTGGACATGGGAATGTTGCACTTGACATTGCAAGAATCTTGCTGTCACCATTAGATCTGTTAAAGGTAAGTGATGCCCTAATAGCTGCTCTTGAGTTTTTTTTTTTGTTTTTTTTTTACTGCAGCTATGTGACTGGTCTCACCTCTGGCTTCTCATTTATTTGTGGGGTTTTTTTTTTTTTTTTTTAAATAGAAGACCGATATTACGCAGACTGCCCTTAAAGGCCTTTCTAACAGTCGTATCAAGAAGGTTTGGCTTGTTGGTCGTCGTGGACCTCTGCAGGTGGCATTTACCATTAAGGTACATTTCCAAAATTGTCACTGTTTTGACATTTGAAGCTTTGCTACAGAGCAGAATGTCTTTAGTTATAAACCAATAATTTAAAGTACAACTAAAGGCTCCTGTATGACAGTCTAAACAAGAACCAAATGCAGTTACTTTGTGATGTACAACCCCATAAAGTAAATAAAAAATATAATTCCTTCTTCATTGGCATCTCACACACCCCCCTGCCAGACACTGCAGCTCGCAGTGGAAGCGTTTTGGGAAGTGAGGCAATGTCAATCCCGAAAAGAGTGGGCAGGTACTGATTTGAAATCTAGAGGCTTATGAATTAGCAATGGCAGTGCTGATATGCAGATATACTTATGTGCAACAGGATGTGTGTATTAGCTTCTGATATTCCTTACACTGTTAGTAGAATCCAATTTGCTCAGCAGTGGATTTGTCCTCTGAGCAGATGAAAGTGGGCAGATGATTGGTCTGTGTCCTCTCAGTATATACAGAGCAGACCCAGGCCGGTTATCCGTTTACGTCTGCCTGCCCTCCGATCCAATCGGATCTGCCTAGATGGAAGGGAGGAAGATCCCCTCCCTTTTTTTTTTTTTAGCAGATTGGGTTGGGTTTAGGCAGATGTAAATTGACAGGCAAACCTGATCGGATCGCCAGTGTGAAAGGGGCATTACGGTGTCATTGTGCTGTATATAAACCACACAGGAAAAGTGTTTTCACTAATGTGTTAATGTTCTAGTGCAGTGGTGGGCAACCTTTTTTTTCAACTGAGCCAAATCTCGCCAAAACCACGATTGAAATTTTATTTTGAGAGCCACATTTTTAAAACTGAAAATACATCTCCCATATAGTAATTCATCCCCATAGTAATTCATCCCCCATAGTAATTCATCCCCCATAGTAATTCATCCCCCATATAGTAATTCATCCCCCATATAGTAATTCATCCACCATATAGTAATTCATCCCCCATATAGTAATTCATCCCCCATAGTAATTCATCCCCCATATAGTAATTCATCCCCCATATAGTAATTCATCCCCCATATAGTAATTCATCCCCCATATAGTAATTCATCCCCCCTATAGTAATTCATCCCCCATATAGTAATTCATCCCCCCATATAGTAATTCATCCCCCATATAGTAATTCATCCCCCATATAGTAATTCATCCCCCATATAGTAATTCATTCCCCATATAGTAATTCATTCCCCATATTAATTCATTCCCCATATTAATTCATCCCCTATATTAATTCATCCCCCATAGTAATTCATCCCCCATAGTAATTCATCCCCCCCATAGTAATTCATCCCCCCTATATAGTAATTCATCCCCCATAGTAATTCATCCCCCCTATAGTAATTCATCCCCCCTATAGTAATTCATCCCCCATAGTAATTCATCCCCCATAGTAATTCATCCCCCATATAGTAATTCATTCCCCATATAGTAATTCATCCCCCATATAGTAATTCATCCCCCATATAGTAATTCATTCCCCATATAGTAATTCATCCCCCATATAGTAATTCAACCCCCATATAGTAATTCATCCCCCATATAGTAATTCAACCCCCATATAGTAAGTCCCCCCTGTGTCAATTCACTTACCTTTGCTCTGCGCGTTCCTCTCGCCGTGTTCCCGCGCCGTTCTGGTCTTCAGGGCGGACTGTGAGAGGAGAGGAGTTCGTCACGCTGCCCCGCCTACATCCTGGCTGCCCCGCCTACATCCTGACAGCTGCAGAGTCCTGACTTTTGGGGCGGCCGCCCAAGAGGAGGGAGGGGGCGGCCGCCCGAGAGGAGGGAGGGGAGCGGGCGGCCGCCCGAGAGGAGGGAGGGGAGCGGCGGCCGCCCGAGGAGGAGGGAGGGGAGCGGGCGCCCGGCACACAGAAGAGCCGCATTTAAGTTTGTAAAGAGCCGCATGTGGCTCGCGAGCCGCGGCTTGCCGACCACTGTTCTAGTGTAATCTGGGCAGTGTATTTTAATACACAATGATCTACAATTTCATAGGTGTTTTTGTATAGATGCTTTTACAGTAAATGTAATTTAAGTACACCTACATGGATATTCAGACATGAATGCACAATCCAACCATAAAGGTATCGGCTGTGAGAGGAGAGGGGGGAAAAAAATATCTTGATTTTGCAATGTTCAATACCTGACTGCTAGACCATTTATGTTCAAACATGGAGCTATATTCTTACATTTTTGCACTAGGGCATGAGGCTAGAGGTTTTATAATGTGTTAGTGTGAACACAAATTACTCATAGGTGCTTGGAGTGTGTTTTTTATTACATTTAAAATACAACTCCCTATCTTCCCCCCTCCTGCACTGAAATTAGACAAGTCAGTCCTTGCAATGGAATTTCACCCCCCACCTCCACCACCACTACCACTCCGGAACTCTCATCAGCAGAGTCCCTCCAGCTTTGGGACCCATCCCATGAAGCCTCCTCTAAGGTACTTCAGGCCCCAGTTGCATGCTTGCCTCAACTGCATGTTAATAGCCTTGCACTGTACATGATGCCGCTGAAGGACCGCCCGAAGCTTTGAGCATAAAAGAACAGCACTAGAGTCTGCCGGACCAAGAGAAAAGTTAAGAGAATTATGGGGTTTATTGAAAAAAAAAAAAAAAACAACCCCCCCCCCCCCCCCCAAAAAAAAAAATATTATTCTCACCTAGGTGGGTGCAGCATCAATATGATTCATCTGTCTCCTGCTGACTCGACACCGAGAACTGAGTGATCAAACACTGCTGATCACTCAGTTCTCCCCTCTGCTCTGAATATTAGTCCTCTGCTCTGCCCTTCCAGGGCTGAGGAGGGGAGGGAGCGGCTGGCTCAGTCTCCCAGCAGTGCAGCTGAGAGGCTGAGGCAGCCCGTCGGTCCAGGCTTTTGGGTGGATTCCAACTATATGGTCAAGATCTTTTCAGAGCCTGGACCAGCTCTGTGACATCAGCTAAACCCCGCTGTTGGCTGAAAACAGGTCACAGGAGTGCAGAATGAACTGCACTTATGTGATCCACAGGAGAAGTACAGCCTGTTCTGTCTCTCCAATCTAAGCATTGATAGTGTGATCTCTGTAACTTACAGTTGTGATGAGATAACGATAACTTCAACCTCAGTTGGATACCACAGTCAGTGACTCAATGAGAATGACATCTTGTAGATCTTGTGAAGTTTATGCCATAAACTGAGAGAATCTTACAACAATGAACATTCGATAGGTCAAAAGAACATACTGTTTCTGCTCCATGCCATGAGGCTTGCTGCAAAGCATTTCTGGGAAAGGGGGAGGGCTATCTATGCAACATTAACTAAACCAAAGGAAAGGGAGGAGCAGAAACAAAATATAGAAAACTCTTAAAGGCATATGACAGTCAGTGTGACAGTCATGTGAAACATGACACAGCCAAAAAGCTTTCTTTAAAGTGGTTGTAAAGGCTCAAGGTTGTTTACCTTCATGCATTATATGCATAAAGGACAAAAAAACACTGTGTGCAGCAGTCTCCTCAGCTCCACCTTATACTAACCTGAGTCCCATGTTGATCCAGCAATGTGCGCGCAAGCCTCCGCTCTCACAGGTCTCTCCCTCCTCATTGGCTAAGATAGAAGTAAGAGCCATTGGCTCCCGCTACTGTCAGTCACAGCCAGTGAGGCAGTGTGAAACGGGGCTGTGCTGCTTATGTGTGTGATTGGACACACAGAGCAGAAGCTGCTTGATATGGGGGCAGTTGGCAGGAGGGAGAGGGGGTCAGGGGCGCCAGCAGAGGACCAGAGAAGAGGAGGATCGGGGCTGGTCTGTGCAAAACCAGACACGGAGCAGGTAAGTATGACATGTTTGTTACAAAAAAAAAAAAAAAGTCTAAATTTACAATCACTTTTAGTATTACACCTTATCGCTACAATGAAACGAGCATTTAACCCTTACAGTACGGGGAGATCCCATTGTAATGGTATAGTTTTTCTAATTCCTGGAGTCCAGCTTTAAAAGACTCTCAGGCTTAAGTAGTAAAACCTACAAAGAGGAGCAAGCAAAGTTAAAAAATGCTGCTGTACAATCTTTTGTTCAATCAACCTTTGATTTGCCAAAACTATAGACACTAAGCTATATCCAATCTGTCTATATCCTATGAAGCAGGCCTTTGCACTACTTAGTTGTTGGGAGACTGTATAGTCAGATTGTAAGGTGTGTGTGGAGCTTAAATGTTAAGTACAGTACCCTTACCAACCAATCACAATCTAGAATCCAAAGATTACTGCACTTCTTACTTTGTTCCTTATGCTAATTGTTTTATATAAGTTAAGTACTTATGTGATTGATTTTTTTACCAGCAGATATGCATTATTCTGAACATATTGTTAAATGCTGCCTCTCCATGGTTGCTGCAGTGTCAGAAGAGGTAGATGGAGGTTGTAAATTTCAAATAGTTGCATTCACTTAAACATCCCACAAATGTCCCTGGTTAGATGACATTTGCAACACATTATTTTACACATTCATCTCCTTCTAAGACCTCGTACACAAGGACTTCAGCTTTTATAGGAGCAGTGTGCTCTAAATTATGTGGTTATGTCTAGGCTACTTATCATTCAGAGCTTGTGCTGTGCACAACCCTAGTGATGGCTCAGCTGTGATAGCCCTTGGCTACTAAATGCAAAGATGAGCTTACTACCTCTTTATTAAGCATGTCTAACCAAAATAAAACAGTGGGCTGAATGGAGTACAAGATATCTTATGGCCCCTGCTATATCTTCTAAGAGCCACACTTAATTCCAAGAAGATTGTACCATTTTGGTGGTTAAGGTTATTATATTTGCAATTTTAAACCTTTCATGCCAGTGAAATGGGTCAATAACCCTTTCACTGCCAGGTACTGTGCTCCACTTTTAAATTCAGGTTGTTTTTTGCAATTTTTCCATTGAATGGTGATGAATTATAAGAATGAATATATAAGTAAAAAATAATGAATATATGAATCATCATTTCTTTACGTGTATACAGGGATGTTGAATTTATATCGCCTGGGACCTGTAGTTTTTTTTTATCCTTCAGCCCTGCGGTGGGCAAGCCGCAGGGTCACCTGTCAGGTGGAAGCATCCAGGCGACAGCGCTGCTGCCGAATGCTTCCACAAAGTGCCAGCCTCCGCTACGTTATGATATCACTTCCGGGTCCCTGATCAAAGATTTCCTGGCCATAGAGGCCAAGAAACAATGTAATGCAGTACACATCTCAGGGGAGGCATCCAGGGTGTTTTTAGCAGGACATGAAATTAAGGGAGCATTTGTTACTGATAAGGACACATTTAGTGATAATTACTTGACAGAGGGTTCATCCCCCCACCTATGTTTGCAGCACGTATCCCCCACTGGAGCGCTTTCTTATTACTTCCTGTCTTGAGTGGTAGAGAATTCGGACACAGACTGCAAATAAATGAATTGGGATACAGACTACAAATGAAAACACGAGAGAGGTTCTATTTCTTCTCCATTGTGGCCAAAACTTAAAAAAATGTTTTGCAAGGTATTGTACTTGAGATATGGAGCTGTAAAATTGCATGGGGCAGTGCAGCCTTTATCAGTCGAAGCCTCCTCCCAGTTTAAAGTGATTTTAAAGCCTTAAGGTTTTTTTTTACCTTTAATGCGTTCTATGCATTAAAGTAAAAAACCTTCTGTGTTGTAGGATCCCCACCTCCTTATACTTGCCTTGCCTGACCCAGATCTAGTGATGTGCACGAGAGCAGTGGCTCTCCCCGTAATCTCCCTCCTCACTGGGCAGACTGATAGCAGCGAGAGTCATTGGCTTCCACTGCTGTCAATCAAGTGCTGTGACAAGGGAGCAAAGGTAGAGGCCAAGCCGCCTGGTCTGTGTCAATAGATGCAGACAGGGCAGCTCTGAGCAAGCAAGGTTGAGTGCCGGACTCCTGACACCCTGACTGGGTGTCTCTGCCAAGAAGCTGCTTCCCAGGCTCTGGAACACGAGGCAAGTGAATATAGCAGTAGCTACCCCAAAGAACTAGACACCAGTTTTTGGAGTAAACAAGAAGAACTGCTTTATTAGAGAAACACACTGAATTTATACAGAAAACCATCAGATAAGGGCTAATCACATTCTCATAGACAATGCCCACCCCAGGCAATCCGGCGCCCACATAGGAATACATTATAAATAGGAAGCCATTTGTTACAATGATAGTTAATTCTGGATAACTTTTAAACAGAGTTCTCTGGGCAATGGTTCTCCTGCAGCCCCAAGTCCTTGACAGCCCCCATAGCAAGTGGCTTGCTGTGGGGACACTCACCGAAGAGGAGGTCTCAGGAGCTCCACTGGGGACCTGAGAAGAGGAGGATCGGGGCTGCTCTGTGCAAAACCATTACACAGAGGAGGTAAGTATTACATGCTTATTATTTTTATAAAAAATCAAAGGTTTATTGTAGCTTTAAATCTTTAAATTGGCAGAAGGTCACATATGACCCAACAACACCAGTCTAATATTCCTACTTGACATGTAAATGTTTGCAATCAATATCCTTTAACGGTAAATAAACTAAAAACCTCTATGATTTTGTCTTGTCTTTTTTTTCAGGAGTTGCGAGAGATGATCCATCTTCCGGGTACCCGCCCTGTAAATGATCCTTCTGATTATCAGAATCTCACAGACTCTATAAAGGGTAAGAAGTATTGATCAACTGGGTCTGGTTATTTTTCCTGTGTTTCCTTCTTCCCACCATAACTAAAATCGCTCTGTAAGCTACTAGCACCAAAGTATGCAAAAGACAGAGGTCCACTCAGTTTACACGTCCTTCTTTCCACCCAGATCAAGTAACCTTCGTACATATGGTTTGGATCTATCCAGCCTCCCTCTCATGCTCCACCATTTGCGTGAGGCTCACAGAGGCCAGTGCTTATATGTAACTGTGTTTTTGTGGACTGACATTTAGAGCCTTTTTTGGGGGGTGAGGATACCAGAAACTAGGAATATAGCTGGCAGGAAAAGCAGATGCAGTAGGCTAAAGTTAAAATGAAAATTAAAGCTTTTTAATTAGATAGAGGATGTGCCCTTTGTATTCCAGTTCCAAATGTTTGTGGGGTTGAAGTGACTTTTAAAGTAAATATGCACTTTCTCTATTGTCCATTGATGCTCAGGACATTTACAAGAAAAGGGTGAACCTTGTCCTGCTAAGTACACATGCTAAGCAAAGGAATGGCCGCTGTGGGAGCGATAATAACCCCTAGGGATTGGTCAGTCGTCTTTCAGTACCCTGTGTACGTGTGTAGTAGCATAGGCCATGGTTATGAATAACCATGAATAAGGATTCCTGTGTCAATTTAATGGATGCCGAGAAAGGGTATTTATGCCAAGTACAAACTCCTGCTTTATCTCATGCAGGACGAAGTGACAGGTTTGCTTTAATGTTCCGTCTTCAGCAACACATGTTCACCATTCATTCACTAACCCACCTCTCCAACCGGCTGCCAGAATTTAAGACAAGACACTCGGTCTCTTTAATCAGAGCTTACACAGGGTTGAGAACTCTCTTCCCTTCCTTGTGTGACAGTGTTGGGCCAATCACTAGCACTGTCACATAAGAAAGGGGAAATAGGTCACATGCTCTTCCATACCAAGAAGTGCCTGATAAATTGTTTGCTCGCGGTAGTTAAGCCAAACACTAGTGCAGTGAAGGAAAGATGGGTATGTGCTGCTCAAGAGTGAACTTTACCTGCTTCCCTACCGCCTTACATATATGCTGTATACGGCCTCATAAGTAAGCAGTTAAACTGGGATCAGGGTTGAGGCTGCAAACCATGATCCTGATATCGTTTTTTTTTAGTGCCAGCGATTCTTTCATGTAAAAGTAATCTGACTGGTTAAGCAGCCGCTGGATTGCATTTACAGGTGACTGTTCCCACCCTCCCTCCCTCCCGCCGCCTTTACTGGGCTCTCCCAAACGAATGGGGAGCCCTTGTAAGGATGCGATTAGCATTATCCAGCTCCTGGCACACAGTGAGAGGAACTGAATTTGTTCCTCCCCACTGTCTGACATCAGAAACCGGTGGTTACCAGCCAGTGAAGCAACTGATCAGACTGATCAGTGTCTAATAAGCTGCGTTGGAGGGCAAAAGAGAGATGGGGTGGTCTAATAGATCCCCCATCTCTCCATAAAGAGTACTTGTCATTGCCTTTTGCTGTCACAAGGGATGTTTACATTCCTTGTGACAGCAAATAAGTGTTAAAAAACAAAAAGTTTTAAAGAAACAGTGTAAATATAAAAAAAGTAATGTAAAAAAAAAATATGAAGGCCCCCGCCCCCCCTGTGCTCACGCTCAAATATGAATGCATGCGCCCATCCCACATGCATATGTAAACCGTGATCGCACTACACATGTGAGGTATCACTGCAAATGTTTTTAAAGTGTCACCTATGGATAATTTTAAAGTACTGCAGTTTGTCAGCGTTTCACAAGCGTGCACAATGTTAAAGCGTGAAATGTTTGGTATCTATCTACTCTGTGTAACATCGTCTTCTAGATTTTACAAGAAAAATTGGTATTATATTGTGTTCACTAAAATTCATTAAAGGATAAGTTCACTTTTCATAACATGTTACATGTTCAGGGTGTAACATGTTTCGAAATGACCGACCACTGCTCCCCCACCCCTCCCGCTCTGTTTTGACGGGCCTCATCACTCATTCATTCTTAGCGGCTATCAGCTTGTAGTTCTCAATGAACTACCACAGCTCTATGAGCGTTGTGGTAGTTCATTGATTATTCCTGTCAGTATCGGCTTGCCCGTACGAGGTCAAGCAAGCAGATACACGGACAGGTCTGCAGGAGTCCTGCATGGCATCAATGATCTGCTGATCGCTGGTGCAATGCTTTACAGGCTCCTACAACAAAAAATAATAAATGCACATTTTTTTACCTTCAAAAAATGTGCATTTAATATTTTTTGTTGAAAGGCGAAATTGTTTTTTAAAGTGCATCTTTCCTTAAAAATTTTCATTTGTAAAACCGCTGCACAACTATGAATTACAAAAACTGTAGCTGCTCACTTTTAATAAACACACACACTTGCCTGTCCTGAGGTCCAGCGATGTGCTCACCTGTCCCTTCTCTCCTTCTCTTCACAGGGCCGGCATCTCAATTGTGGGCACCAGTCTGTGACAGCTTGTGGCTTCACAGCTGGGTCCCCACTGCGCATGCGCGAGTCGCGTTGCACATCCTAATTGGTCCAGCAGACTTCTGGGCTTTGTGAAGGTCCCCAGGAGACTGCGGGAGGAAGGAGGGGGGCAAACTTCCAGCTCACTTCACAGCGAACTGAGCCGGCAGTGGGAGTGGGTACCTGTCAAAACCAGGTACCCACTCCCTCACAAAAGGTGCCAAATATGGCAGTGGGGGGGGGGGGCAAACAAGCGGAGCTTCCACTTTTGGGTGGAGCTCCGCTTTAATAAAAATTACCTGATTACCTCTGCTGCTTCGTGTCTTGCTAACATTCTATACTTGTCAAACTTACCTAACTTAGATCTTCCTCGGCCCAGAAAACGACTTACAGAACTGCTAATGAAGACCGTATTGGAGAATCCTGGAGAGAAAGAGGCTATCCAAAGATCCCAATGTGATCGCGAATGGGGCCTGCGCTTCCTCCGGAGTCCTGTGGCTGTTTTGCCTAGCGAAAATGGAAAAAAAGTGTCTGGTATTAGGCTGTCTGTCACAAAACTTGAGGTGTGGACTACTACTTTAATGTAATCTGGTCTTCAAACTATTGTAAGTTGTACAGGGGCTCATTCACATGGGCACAGAGGGTCATACACTGACAGAATTCAGCTTATTTCTGTGCTGTATAGCCAGCAGCCTGTCCAAATCAATGACAGGCTGACAAACGTTGCAGCTGTACACACATCTGAGTGGTTATATATGTTCAGGGAAGTTGAGGAGCCCTCGACATGCATTGTCTGTATCCAAGGCCGCTAAGTATATGTAGATTTGGTGAGCAAAGTGCAAGCGTACCCCAGGAACGCAACAATCTGTGGCACAAACATTCTATATAACTACTACTTTGAACAAAGACTAAAGCCTGTGCTTATTACTTGTGTCAGTTTTTCTTTTAATTGCTGGCTGCTTCAACTCATTCCCCTGTCCTGGTGTCCAAACACCATTCAGGGGGTGTTACCCCCACAAGAGACACAGACAGCCATAGAAAGAGAGTCACTTTTTTTTTGTCTGTTGCTTAATGAGCTGATAATAGCAGAACATATATGCTATATTTATTTATTTTTTCTTTGAGCTTCCATATGGCGCCCCCACTTCTTGTGCGCTCCTGTTTGACTATAATCTTGCATACAGCCATTCCCAGTGACACACACACACACACACTGCAAAGAGCAACACTGCAAAGAGCCCCTAAAGCTGCGTCTCTCCTGCACATAAAGGGTTTGTTCACTTTTTAAGGAAAAATTAAATGATGGGGCCCCTACACCCCCGGCTGGTCCCTTCTCATCACCACAAAGTACTTGCGTCCATGAGTGATGAGTTCTCAATGCCCATACAGCAGTCCAGGGGTTTAAAATCCCCGTCGTTCTTCCCATTCTTTCTTGTAGCACTTCCAGAATGGATCAGAGCAATTTATGATTGTGTTAGTGCTGGTGTGTAGTCCACATACAGTGGTGAAGGTTAGTGCTACATGAAAGAAGAGGGGAGAAGAGTGGGGCCTCTAAATCCCCAGACAACTGCACCGGCTGCATGGACACTGACAGCTCATCACCCACAAAAGTAAGTAAAATGGGGGCCTGGGTATGGGAAGGTTGGGGTGGCGGTATTCAAAAAAGGGGGGTTTGTGAAAAGAGATTCACAGAAAAAAGCGGCTACATTATGAACAGACCGTGACACTCAGAAATTTTCCAAAAATTATGCTTTATTACACAGATATATAAATATGACATATGGGCATTCGCCCTGGTTTACCATCACCTCAGTATGAGACAATAATTGATCTTATCTGTCCTGGAAGTGCTGCAGACCTTTTCTCCCAGAAGAGGGAGAAGTGTGGGGCCTCTAAATCCCCAGACAACTGCACCGGCTGCATGGACACTGACAGCTCATCACCCACAAAGGTAAGTAAAATGGGGGCCTGGGTATGGTGTTAAGAGGTTGGGGGTGGCGGTAGACTGGTAATTTACCTTGTGAACTTACACTTTAAGGTTGTAGTTCTAAATGGGACTGCACACATAGTGGTGACTCTTGTGGGATTCTGTGGACCCTGGCAGGCACAGAGGAAATCCACATACCTGTAATTTGTCAGCTTGCCTAGGCGGCAGTGTAAAGAGGAAACTCCGATGAAGAAAATGTATAAAAACAGCAAGAGCATGTAGGTTCTGCTTTTAGCAGCTCCTTTAGAAAAATAATTGTATCACTTTTTAACTTTTTTCGATTTGTGTTTCTTAGGGTAATGGGGAGAATGCAGTTGCTGTTACTACAGGTAAAACAGAGGATATATCATGTGGGTTAATTCTCAGCAGCATTGGATACAGAAGTGTTCCTATCTCACCAAGTGTACCTTTCCTCCAGAAGAATGGGATTATACCAAACAGCATGGGCAGAGTGCAAGGTGCTCCAGGTTAGTGTTTTATAAGCATCATGACTTCTCATATGGTACCTTATTAACACGTCTTTCACCTGGTCTTATGGTCTGTATTTGCAGGACTTTACTGCAGCGGCTGGGTGAAGAGAGGGCCGACCGGTGTCATCGCTACAACAATGACGGACAGTTTTGACACAGCGCAGTCCTTGTTGGAAGACCTAAAATCAGGTGCTTTACATTGTTCAGAGACTCGATTTGGAGCCTCAGCAATCCGTGAGCTGCTTCTTCTCAGAGGTATGTGGAGGAAAAAATATACACCATGCTTATGATGGTGGCTCACAATTTCTGCTTGTGTCTGCCCGAAATTTATTTAGGCCCCCTGCACATGTGCAGAACATTTTTGCAGCCACTTTTAGGGGCGTCAGGTTTTTGGGGGTTTTTTTTGGTTTTTTTAAACTGCTTCCAAATGGCCCTCCATATTATCCTATGTGTACATGCACACATAGACTTTTAGATGCTTTTAGTAGCAGTAGTGTTTACCAGCAGTAAAAAAACCCAGGGCCAGTGCATCCAGCAGCAGCAGCATTTTGGCAGAAAAAAAGCTTATAGCAGTTAGCAGAGTTTTTTTTTTTTTTTTTTTTTCATTGGTTAAGGAGAAAGCCAGGAAGCCGGCCGTGGTGTCCTTCACAACAGATGAGTCGTCAGCTGTCAGCGGGGTTCCCAGCTAAATGTAAAAAAAAAAAAAGTTAAAAAAACAGTGTGGGGGGTCTCCTCCTCATCCATACCAGTCCCTTTGGGTCTGGAATGGATTTTAAGGGGAACTCCACACCAAAATATAAAAAAGGAAACTGCATGGGGTCCCCTCCAAAATCCATACCAGACTTTTTTCCGAGCATGCAGCCTAGCAGGTCAGGAAAGGTGGGGGGGCTGGGGGGAAATGGACCGGAAGACCCTGCCCCCTTGTGACGTAACTGAGGAGACTGGGCATGCTGGGTCGGTGATGTCACAAGGCGATGAGGTCACTAGGATAGCTCGTAGTTATTTAAGAGGTGTCAAACGGCTGAGCTGCGAAACGGCGGGAGCCTTCGTCGGGACCGGAGGTTGTTTTTCCGGGTCGGCAGTGGTGGCATGATTGACGATGGATCTACATTTATTTATTTGTTTTTTCAATATAAGACTTATCAAGAATTAGTTGTGTTTTTATTTGCTTTTTACACCTTTTTGGTGAATGAGTAGGCCATACTCATTAACATGTAGGGGGATAAAGGGGGCTTCCAGATTCCGCTAAGCCCCCTGCCCTCAGAGCCCCACAACCACCAGCCAGGGTTGTGGGGAAGAGGCCCTTGTCCTCATCAACATGGGCCCTCCCCCTCCCCTTACCTTTGCTTGGATCAGGGTCTGGAATGTATTTGGGGGGCACGCTGTTTTTTTTTTGTTTTTGTTTTTTTTTTTTTAACTTTGTGGGGCTGTTTTTTTCACTTTTTTTTTTTTTTTTTTGTTATTGCCAGCAATCTTTTTTTTCCTGGCCCTCTCCTTAACAGTTGCCCTGATCCTTAATGCTGCAGCTACTAAACGTTGCTTACACACTAGGCTAAACATTGCTAAACGCCGGCAAAGAACGCTAAAACATTAGCATTTTTGTCCAGTGTTTCTAAAGCAAATTTTAACTTTTTTGGTGTGCATCAGATCTTAGTCTTGGCTAGAGGGGATGGTTAGAACTCCTGTCACGTTTTACCCTTCACTTTCTGTCTGGAATTATTAAAGTAAAACACAGCAAGACAGAATGCATTTTCAGAAGGAGGTGAGCAATTGTAGCCTCCATGTTGGTCTCATAGCAGGCATACTTTACTGAATCTGTGCTTTACCCATGTTCATATTAAAGTGTTTTAGATAGGAAAGTAAAAGAGGTTACTCTTGTTTAAAGAACATTGGGGAACTGGAGAAAGTGCAGAGAATGGCAACCAAACTGATAAGAGGCATGGTGGAGGTCAGCTATGAGGAAAGATTAGAGGAACTGAATTCTCTTGAGAAGAGGAGATTAAGGGGTGATATGATCTCCATGTATAAATAAATCAGTGGTTCATATAGTGAACTCGGTGTAGAGTTATTCACCCTGAGGTCATCAGAGAGGACAAGGGGGCACTCTTTACATCTGGAGGAAAAGAGATTTGATTTCCAAATCCGGAAAGTTTTCTTCGCAGTAAGAGCTGTGAAAATGTGGAATAGACTCTGTGAAGAGTTGGTTCTGGCCAGCTTAGTGGATTGCTTTAAAAAAGTCCTGGATTCTTTCTTGGATACACAGAATATAACTGGATACTAACATTTATAGGTAAAGTTTATCCAGGGAATATCCAATTGCCTCTCGGGGGATCAGGAATTAATTTTTTTTCCCCTGCAGGAGCAAATTAGATCATGCTTTGCTGGGTTTTTTTTGCCTTCCTTTGGTTCAACTGTGGGTATAGGATTATAACTTTTTTTTTTTTTTTTTTTTTAGTTGAACTGGATGGACTTTTTTGTCTTTTTTTTCAGCCAGACTAACTATGTAACTAATTTTTGTTGTCTGTGTCCCTGTGGAGAGATTATCCTTCACACCCTGCTGTAGAGATGCAGCAGGAAGTGAGGGGAAACAAAGGTTTCCAGAACATTGGAAGGTTTACTGTCACCTCTTGTCTTGTGACAACTGTAAAATTTGGGATGTCCCAATACTTTGTGTATCCGTGACAGCAGAGAAATTAGTGTGGGTGAATCTCCCCAGCAGAGACCAAGACAGCAACAAATCTTTCAGGGGTTCTAGCTTGTGTCTAGCTTTCAATTTGAGCCAACAATGCAGAGCCCTCTGCTGCACTGATTTCCCAAGCATTGTTATAAACCCTGTCTGGTTTTTCTCTTCTGGACTACATGTCACCTATCATTTTTCCTTATCTCCATAACACCCATGATGTTAAAAGCTCACTGAACTTCTGGCAGGATCAACATGGTTTTCTCAATACCTGCACCATTTTTTTTAAAGAAACAGAACATGATCAAAATTTCATGTTTTGCCGCGTTGAAATGATTTTTATTTTTAATTGTTCAGACACACTGCAGCAACATACATTCCCTTCTCCACACTACAGCTCAATGCACTGCCTGGAGCAAAGAGAAATACCTGGTACCTCTAGGTATGGGGGAACGTGTAATTCCCATTGTTCCCATGTGACAGCTCTTGTGTCTGCAATTGGCTACTCAGGCACTCATCTGTCACATGGAGGTAATCAGCCCTGTGTAATCTCCAGGTCCCAATTTAGAAATTACACAGGGCTAACTGTACCTAACTCCCATCAGAAAAAAAATTGAAGGGAGGGAAGGTGTGCAGTTGTTGGATTTAAGGTGGAACTGTTGATTTCCCCTTCATAGACAGAACACAGGTTGGCTTTAGTCATAAAAAATCATTTGAGTTGATGGTAAACGGACAGAATTAACTTATTTTTAATAAGCAGAATTTTCTTGATGTAATTTAGTTACTATAAAAATATACCAAGCTATACACTTCTCCCTTGATTGCTTTATCTCTTTTTTTAACTTTTAATTCTTTACAAAATGAAACAAAGAGCTTTGTAGGAACTGTCTCTCTCCATGTAGGGATCCAGCCTGTGTCTTTCTCTGACTGGGAGAAGATAGATGCAGTAGAGAAAACCCGTGGAATGGAAGTAGGAAAACCTCGAGAAAAGATCTTGGACCCTGAGGAGATGTTACAGTTAGTTTGTCGGTGACGTGCGGAATGAATCACTATTATAGTGAGGAAGCTTTTATAATAACTGGCTTTTAAGATTTATGACTATGGAAAGGAATTGACTTTAGAACAACATTACCTCAATGATTTTTTTTTTGTAAATAGATTTCATACCTTCTATACCTTTCATCTTTGCATATTATTTGTCATTGTATCAATGTTATGCAATTAAAAAATTTTACTTTATTTGGATACGTAATGCAGTTTGCTTTCTAAGCACTTTCTACGCGCTATGTGCCTCTGGGAGCATTTACTTGTATTTGGAGGGGCTTGGGAGTGGCTGTCACCTAATATCTATGACTGGCTTTAGTGAAAGGTGAGAAATCACTGGAATCTGATGTCTGTGATGCATTCCAAATTAACCTGTATATGTATCCAGCTGCAGTCAGGTGGACATCAATAAGAGAAGCAACCATGAACAGTTTATATATGGACCACCCAGGGTAAGACCACTTTAATGCCTACATGTTTATATAAGAGAACAGATATCACAATTATAAAGGATTAAATAAGCCATTGTAATAGTAGGTAAAGAGAAGCCACAGACTACTTCCTTCTGCTGTTATCAAAGAACTGCAGTCTAAATGAAGAACATTGTTCTAATGCTACTGAAATAACATATACTGTACACAACCAATGAACAACAATGGGTCTATTTAATAAAAATTTGCTTTGAGAATGTCTCAACATTCGTGCAACCATAACAAATACCCTTACTGTTTGTAATATGTAGGTAATGGCTTCTTTGTTGCTTTTCACCAAGCAAATGTAACATTCCTTGGCATTTGATCCTAAGAGGAAAATAAATATAAGAGTGTTTGACCTTTAAGAGTTATCATTCAAAAATAGAGAAAATAGCCTAACACTAAAGGCTAGGAACATTTGACCAGCTGAGGAAACTTCTGCACTGTGTACAGTCTATGGAAATTACTGTGTGAACAGCTGATCAAACTTCCAACTGCCATGTAAAGTGACAGTTTAGCACTGGTTCTATAACTGCTGAATGTGACAGTTTTTCCTTCTCGTTTTTAGAGTCCTTGTACGCTGGCGTCCTAATAGCCAGTGATTAATCGCCGCCTCGCACATTCACATGTTAGCCAAGGATTCCCAACTGGCAGGTGAATGTAAACAGCAGGGATCATGTACAAAAAAAAAAAAATGTAAAAAAAAAAAAAAAACGTATCGGGGCTTTTTAGGTCAAACTTGTTTCCTCAACATGGAAGGAGGAAACTTTTTGTCCCCATGTTGATGAGGACAAATGCCTCTTCCCCATCACCCCGGCCAGCAGTTGTGGGGGTCTGTGGGCAGGGGGCTTATTGCAATCTGGAAATCCCATTTAAAAGTAAGGGCGGCTTCCTGTTCCTGCTCCCCCCCCACCCCCATGTGAATGAGTATGGGGTACATAGTATCCCTACTCATTCACGAAAAAGTCAGTGGTAAATAAACACACTTTATGACAAGTCCTTTATTTAAAAGTACCATCAATCATGACATCCAGCAATTGCAGATCCATGTCAATTACAATATCTGACAGCCGTTGACAAGGCAAAAACAAGCTACCAGCTGAGAGGACAGACCACCTCACTTGACTCCCACTGAATGTCATCTTCTGGTCCTCTGTTGTCATCAATATAAGCAACGGTGTGAAGCCTCTCTTGATGATGTCATTGCTGTCACCAGGTTTGTATGTATCAGTGGGTGGCGCTTTTTTTTTTTTTTTTCCCATTTGACAGTTCAGTGGCTTTCGGGCATTGGTAATTGACTGACAGTGGACTTGCGTCATGGGGCATTTTTTAAAAATGAATTAATGGGACTTTGTTTTTTTTTCTCCTTTATTCTTTTTCTTTAATACCACTGCTAAATGTTTCACTTCACACTACAGCTGGAGGTTTGTCTGGAGTCATGTGAATGGTCTCTTCTCAATCAAGGAGTATCTTCTGCAGCATTATTCTGATAAAAATGTCTTCACTCAATCCCTCTACTGCATCATGACTGTGAATTTTGTGTACTCTGAGAAAAATAATGGGCTAGTTTTAATTGAAATTTGTTGGCCAAGGTGGAGGAGTTGCTGCAAATAGGTCATTTTTTAATTCTTTCACCTGTGCCTAATGTTTAGAGGAATAAATCAATAGCTACTATGGAAGCAATATTATGCCCTTCTGCAATGCCAGCTGAGCCAAGCACCATTTCATACATCTTTGTATACTGCAATCTGCTGAAAATATACTCATTACTTATACTACATAGTATATATGATTTTCATCACTTTATTCCTCCTTGTTCATGCACCCTTTTAAAAAAGTAAATTGCAAGAGCTGCCGAATTTGCTGATAAACAGGTTTCAGACACTGAGACCTTAATCCTTAAAAATGGTAGCAGACTCCACTTCTTTGCTTTTACCTACAGGTAAGCGTTTATAAAAGTTTACCTGTAGGTAAAATTAATGCCTCGCGTGCACAATTAAGGAGATATTTACATATTTCGCAGTTGGTGACGTCACCGGCACATGTGCACTGTGCTCTGAATTGAGGGCACAGTGAATGTGCTGTTAATTTGGAGTCTTGTGCTGTGCGCATGCATGGGAGTGACATCATTGCAGCTTGGCCATTTAAACAGCCGGAGCCCGTGAAACCAGAAGGTAGAATGGGTGAAGATGAAAGCCGTCAGCTGTGACAGCATGCTGCTGGTGGGCTTCATTTTACAGTTAAGTCTTTCATAATGTGCTAGAATGTGATTCTTACTGGCACATTATGATGTAAACTTGCAAGGGGACTAGAATTTTTATTTTTTTTTTTTCTTAGACTTTACTACCATTTTAAAGCAATCTGTTTACATCAACTTTTCCTTTAGCAGCTTCTCTTGGCCTACACTAGAGGAAGCTGAAGGAAAGACGAGATGAACTGCTTATTTACTTTAATACAAAGTTTGCCTTTCGTCTTCCCAGAGGTTCCAGTGTCCAAATTACCACTTGCAATTTACTTTATTTCTACCTGTCCCCAATCCTTGCTTAAATAAGGTAAAGCAATCCTTATAAGGCAAAACAAAAATTGTTGACTACAGAGCTCAGTAGAGACGTAGGGGTTGGAGGATGGAACCATATGGCAGGGAACACAAGCACCCAACCATTCCAGTAGTGTTGAATGCTCAAGAGTCCTATGGTAGCTGCAGCACTGGAATGAAGGACAGGAAGGAGACTCGGGCTGCCAGAAAGCTGAAAATAATAGGATGTCTGCTCTCCAGCCTTCTCTGCACTTGGGTCTAGTTCAGAAATCATCTCAGGGAAAGGTTTTCCTTCCAGAAAAGAACATTTCTCTAGTCATGTTCCAGGACAGCACACCTGAGAGATGACTAGCTCCACCTGACAGGAAACACCATAAAAAAATAACAGTTTAAATTCCCCGCCCTTTCCTCCCCTCCTCAGTTTTTTTTATTGTGTTTCCCTGCAGCAGAACATTTATTTTCCTCTGACCGAAGGCCTGGACCTGGAAGGTCCCCCTTGGGAGGTGGACAGCAGAGCCAGAGAGGGCAGGTTGTAGCTGGGGTCACTTACCATCTCCAGGGGTTCCCAATGCAGTGGAATCCCCAGGCATTGGGGCGGAGTGCCTGGCATTCCTGGGACTAGCGTCCTTTTTTTTCTGGGGCAGCGGGGAGGTCTGTCCAGGAGAGGACCGGGCTGCAAGGTGGCTCTCACAGATATGGAGATCGCTGGCCAGCATTTCTTGAGCAGTGCGCAGTTGGGTGAGGATGGAAGAGAAGGCAGTGGCTGCAGCTAGTGAGAAGGGCACGGGTGGGGAGTCTGACTCAGCTGGTGGGGGAGAGGCTGTAAGTCCTTACCCACTCCCCTACAGGTGTGCCTAGGGTGGGGGACCATTTAAATGGGCCCCTTGTTTTTCTTTTCCCTAGTGCCATGTGGAACAGCCCAAGAGAGCACCCACAAGACCCCTAAGGCTAAAGCCCCGCCCCACTCCAAACTGTGTGGTTATTGCAATGATACAGTTCCACAAGACTATATAAGACCCTTCTGTTACAAATGTATCCACAAGTTATCAGGGAAAGAAACCTTGGCAGTTATGAAGGAATTTTGTTGGTGCAAACAATCCTTCAGGACTGCCCTGACATCTAGAGAGATAGATACTCCGTCCCCTAGCTGGAAGGGACTTGGGTGGGGAAGCAGTGCAGGGGTTTGGGCTCCTCATCCTCTCAGGTCCCTGAGGAGAAAGACCTGGAGGAGGTGGAGGTTTCTGACCAAAACTCCCTGGACCAGGGGGGAGAATTGGAAGGTAATAGCCAAGCTAGTGAGGAGTCTAGACCCGGTAGACACATTTTTGCAGCGGATGATATGGAGGGGCTCCTAAGGGCTATTTACACCTCAGAGGGCATCCCGGAACCGCCTATGCAAGCCTCACCTCAGGATATGATGTGTAGTGGGTTGGTGAAACTGCAAACTAGGGTACTACCCATACACCAAAATCTCTAAGATATTGTTTTGAGAGAATGGAAGGATCCCGAGAGGAAAGTCTTAAAATTAAAGACCTGGAAAAGACTACCCCTTTGGGGAAGAAGAGGAACAGAAATTCTTCAAGACCCCTACATTTAGATACCGCGCTGTCACAAATTTTTAAAAAGTTGGACCTGTCCCTTGAGGACTCGGGCAACATCAAAGATCAGATGGACCATGGGTCTGAGACACTGTTGTGTAGAGCCTGGGAGGCTAATGCAGCCACTATGGCCCCAGCCTTGGCATCCACTTGCATTGCTAGGTATACTGATGACAGGATGCATAGAGTTATTGAACATGTCTCTCGGGGTTCCAATAAAAAGGGGGAAGCCAAAACGGAAGAGTTGTTAGAAACCTGGAAGTGGTCAGCAAGGCAGTTGCCTATTTAGCAGACACTGCAGTAGAGATAGTCAAGACGTCAACTCAGCCCGGAGGGAGGTGTGGGTTAAGGCCTTGGACGGCAATCACACGTCAAGAGCCTG